AACGTTTTCCACTGCCTCCGCATGTGAACTTTTCTAAACCCTCTAGTCCGTAGGAACCTTACCTGCGGATTTCAGGTTTCTTTATCATTGGCCAATCATGGCCTATTTACAGTGATATACGCGTGCCTCTCGGGTAATCGGGTGGAGTTCAGATGTTACTCTCCCCAGTTTCCCCTGTTGGTGTTTGCTATACAGGACCAAATTTTCAACTCTGCTGTTATCTCATCCCATCTTCAGGCTATAATTTATTGTATTCTCCAAAATCCTTTTCTGATGGGACCTTTAATGAATGTGTCCTTCTTCTAAGCACTGATATTCCGTACCATCAGCTATTTGTTGTACCTCGCTGCATTACACAGCAGCCCGTATCTACTTGCATAGGTGGTATACGCATATGTTCTTTATATCTCTCTCCTTCTCGAGCTTTATCTATTCCGGATTATTGCCTTTTTGTTTCGTCATTTACACCACCGATTCTGTTACTTGGTGATTTTAATGCCCACATTTCCTCTGGGGGGGTCTCACTGTGGATCCCGTGGCTTTTAGTTAGAGGCTTTTCTTGCCACTCACCCCCTCCAATGTTTTAAAATACAGGTACTCACACCCATTTTGATCCTCGGGACTCACACTCTCTTTGCATCGATGTTCAGTCTGATCTCCTCCGCCGCATTAGACTTCACTTGGTCTGTTCTCCCAGACTTACACGACAGCGATCATTTCCCAATCATTCTTTACTTTCTCTTCATATTCACCACCTCTTCGCATCCCACGCTGGCAATTTATATAGATCAGGCAAATTGGAACCTTTACTCACACCTAACTGTTTTTAGAGAGGTTCCTTCTTCGTCCTCCATCGATGAGCTTTTACACCTCTTCTCGTCCACCGTTTTAACCGCAGCTTCTCATTCTATACCCCAAACTTCAGGCAGGCATTCTCAGAAATGCGTGCTTGGTGGTCTCCTGGCTTGTGCTGTGCACGTCGTTTGAACGCGCTGCTCTTGGGGCAGGTACCAGGTACAATAGAACCACAGAGAGACTTCTTGATTTTAAGCAGAAGCGTGCGATCACACGCTAAACGCACTTGCTGGCGAGATTATGTCTCCACCATCACCTCTGCTTCCTCTATGAGTGCAGTCTGGAAAAATGTTACGAAAACTGGAGTGTAAAATATTCTCCTGACCCGGCTCCTGTTCTGCGGGTTGCCGGTGTTGAAATAGCAAACCCACTAGATGTTGGCAATCATCTGGTCTGTATTTCTCAGGGACTCCATCTATGCCCCTCATTTCTTTCCTCAAAGTCTGCCAAGAGTTAGCACCCTGGACTTTTCTTCTCTCAGAGAAGAACAGTATAATGTGCTTTTTCACTTCACAAGAAACTGGAGGCAACACTTCGCTTGCCGATCATCGGCAGCTGGGCCGACGACATTCATATTCGTATGCTACAACATTTACATCAGTCAGCCCTTGCAGTCCTATTACGCCTTTACAATCTTATTTGGTCACAAGGAGTTCTTCCACAGCTGTGGAAATCCGCCATTGTTCTCCCTTTCCGCAAAATCAGGGCACTACGGGACATGAAACCTCCACTTATCGTCCCATTGCTCTTACCAGTGCAGTTTGCAAGTGATGGAACGCCTAATAAATAGCGTTTATGTGTGGTATTTAGAGACACACAACAGTCTCTTCAGCGTCAATTGGCTTTCGTAAGGGACGTTCTACCATAGACCCCTTTACTCATGCTTGGATAGTATCGTTCGTAGCTTTGCGAATAACCACTCAGTTATTGCCCTATTTATTTGACCTTGAGAAGGCATATGAGACAACTTGGAGGTATAATATTTTGCCCAGCACACTTTCTTAGGCATTCGAGGCAATCTACCATCCTTCCCTTATGAACTTTTTAATGACAGGCATTTCCGTGTTCGGGGTTAATAATGTGCTCTCCCCGGCTTTATCAAGCTGAAGAGTGTCCCCCAGGGATGTGTTTGAGTCACAACACTTTTTCTCCATGCTATTAATGATTTGGTGCCTCTAGTCTTTCCATCATAATATTTGGTCTTCACTCTATGTTGATGATTCTATTGCCTGTGCAGGCGCTGATGTCACTATTACAGTTTCTTCCAGCATGCAGTCGACCGGGTTTCCAATTGGGCCACACGCGTGGGTTTAAATTTTCCGCCACTAAAACCACCAAATTACTTTCACATAGACGCACTGTCATCTCCGATCATCCTTGTACCTTATGGCTCCCGTATCCTGAACGTGATACAGTCAAGTTTCTGTGCCTCCTCTTTGATCGTAGGTTATCCTGGAAAACCTCACATTACCTCCTCTGAAGGGAACTTGCCACAAGCCCGGTGAACCTTCTTAAACCCTTGGCTATTTTCATGGGGAGCTGATCGTCGAACTCCTGTGCCTACATTCCACCTTATTTTATCGAAATTGATTATGGTGAACAGTCTATTTCAGCGGCATCTCCTGCTACTCTCTCTAGCCTTTAACCCCATTCATCACCAGGATTACGTTTATGCCTTGGTGCTTTTCGCTCTTCCCCTGTCGAGAGCCTCTATGCAGAAGCGAACGTTCCATCCTTATCCGATCGCCGTGATGCCCATTGCCTTCGCTACTATGTACGCTCTCATGATCTCCGCAATCCTTCCATTTATAGAATGGTCACTGATATTAGTAGACATTCTTTATTTGTTCGCCGCCCCTGTTTACTCCGTCCCTTCTCTCTTCGCCTTCATTCGCTCTTGTCTTCTCTTCAATTACCACCTTTCTATGTTCATGTAGCATCTCACTTTTCCCTACCCCCCTGGGAAGTTCCAGCTGTTCGAGTCTGTTCTTTCTCTCTCCCTTGCTTGAAAGCCCAACTGTCTACGGTCGCTTCCCGCTCTCTTTTTCTTGACCACTTTCACTCTCATTCTCATGCCATTGCTGTGTACACAGATGGCTCTAAGTCTTCTGACGGCGTACGATTTGCAGCAGTGTTTCCGGACAGCGTCGTACGAGGGCATTTACTATCTTCGGCTAGTATTTTTACTGCTGAATTGTATGCCATCCTTACAGCACTTATCCATATTGCATCTATGCCTGTGTCATCATTTGTGGTTCTCAGACTCCCTTAGTGCTTTACAGGCTATACAGAAATTTGATACACCTCACCCCATAGTCCTCCGTATCCAACTTTGGCTACGCCGCATCTTTACCAAGCATAAAGATATTGTTTTTTGTTGGGTCCCTGGTCATGTTGACGTACAGGGCAATGAACAGGCAGACACTGCTGCGCGGTCAGTAGTACATGACCTACCAGTTTCATGTAGAGGTATTCCATTTACGGACTATTTTGCTGCAATATCTTCCCACCTTCACACCCGTTGGCAACACCTTTGGTCTACTATGCTCGGCAACAAACTTCAATCTATTAAACCAAGTATAGGTTACTGGCCATCTTCTTATCACCAGTGTCGAGGTTGGGAGACTACTCTCTCCCGTCTTCGCATTGGCCATACTCGTCTTACTCATGGATATCTCATGGAGAGGCGCCCTGCTCCTCTCTGTGAGAATTGCCAAGTTCCATTATCAGTCAGCCACATTCTGTTGGACTGCCCACTTTATCAACGAGCACGCAGAATTTACCTCCGTCGTCGTCTTCGCTCCGCTGCTCTCTCTTTACCTTCCCTTCTCGCTGATGGACCCACCTTTCATCCGGACTCTCTCATTGACTTTTTGACAACAACTGACTTACTTCACAAATTCTGATACCTTCAGCCCTTTCTACTTCAATCTCTTGCTACCCTCTACCCCCGTACTATCCCCTGCCCCGCTGTTTTCTGTAACCTACTGATCATCCCTCCTCCCTTCTGCCATCCAATACACTCGCTTCCTTCCCTACCCTGCAGCGCTGTATAGCCCTTGTGGCTTAGCGCTTCTTTTTGATTATAATAATAATAATCAGAACCGAACTCTGTCGTAAGTCGGATGGTAAGTGTATAAGTATTTATAATTGTTTTGTGTTTGTAAAACTATAGGTATTCTTTTTTTTTTTTTTTTTTTTTTTGAGTGTCTGGAACGGGTTAATTGGATTTACATTATTTCCTATGGGAAATGTTGCTTTGACTTTCGAACAATTTGAGTTTCGGCCGAGCTTCTGGGACGGATTACGGCCAAAATTTGAGGTTCCACTGTATTAACTTGTCCACGTCAGTGATTCGCTGAACAGCAAGACTGAGTTCTACAGCTAGAGAATATACTTTACATCTGCTTTCTGTCATTATATTTGCAAATTTCAGTCTACCCATAATTGTAGTCTACCTTCAGCATGCCTCTACCTTCAGTCCATCTCCAGTCTGTTTTATCTGCTGCCTTAGGTCTACATTCACTCTACTTCCACCTTTAGTTTACATTAAATCTGTATCATTAATGTTGGTAGAATTACCAACTTGACAAGGCTCTTGGAGAGCGAAACATTGCCATAATAAAATGTCACATTAGTCGCACCTGTGCCCTTTTACCTACATTAAATCTGTTTCTGCCTTCAGTCTACATTCGATCCACTTATGCCTTCAGTCTGTTTTTAATCAGTTATTTTCAGTTCACCTTCATTCTACTGCCTACAGTCTACTTGCATCTAGTTCTGCTTTTAATATATATTATCTGCTTCTACTTACAGTCTATTTCTACCTTTAGTATACATTGTCTGCTTCTGCCCTCAATCTGTTTCTACCTTTAGTATACATTGTCAACTCCTGCCCTCAGTCTTCTTTCACTTCTACCTTTAGTATACATTGTCTACTTCCACCTTCAGTCTACTTTCACTCTACTTCTACCTTTAGTATACATTGCCTACTTCTACCTTCAGCCTTCTTCCAATCTACTTTGTTCAGTCTGTTTTTAATCAGGTACTTGTTCAGTATTGTACAATAGATTATGTACCCTATGTACACCATGGTTTATTAGGAGAAAGTGTTGATGTTTGTAGTAACTTCACTCTTCTTCCAGGGAAGCAGACCTTTCAGTTCAAGGCTGGAGACCTTGTGTGGTCCATGCAGAGGGGTGCATGGTGGCCCTCCTATGTGGAACAGGTTTACACACACAGCAAGAAAGCTTCCGTCTATTTAATTGGAAGTAAGCAAGAGGCCGATCCAAAAGTGGACTTCAGCAAAATCAAGGGTTTTAATTATGGTGAAATTCCTTCGTATGTGGTGAGTAAATGGCATCCATTGTTTACTATGAGATTTGTGCACAGTTTAAAAGGTATCCATTGTTTACTGTGAAATTCATGCAGAGTTTAAATATTTAATCATACATTGTTTACTAGTTTAAATGGCATCCATTGTTTACTTGGAGATTCATGAAGTATCTGCCAAGAGTGAAAGAGAGGGAGATAGACAGACAGACAGATAGATTTAGATTGGACTAAGCTGCTGAAGCAGCTAGTTTACTGTGCACACAATATCCATTATGTAGAGGATAGCACAAGAGCATATGGATACACCAAAGGCCTTGAAACCAGGCCCCAAAAGGGTTTACAGGAGTACATCTGGATTTTTGTCTACAGTTCACTTATCTGTTGAAAGCATATTGAGGAAACTTGCTTAATATATTTAGTACCTTATTTTCATTAATAAGATATCTTGACATATCACACAGGTTAATACTGTTTATCTCTAAATTCCTCAATAAATGGACAATGAAACACCTAGTATTCAAGATAGTGACCATAGGGTTGGCCCACATACTTTGCATTTGGTTAATGAGTGAGTGTGAGAGAGAAAAAAAATGTGTGTGTGTGTGTACTCTCCTAATTGTGGTTGCAGGGGTCAATTCATAGTTCATTTTGTGTTTGTGTATGTCTGTCTCATGCATGCACTCACCTATATGTGGTTGCAGGGAATGAATCTCAGTTCCTGACCCACATAACTGCTGATACCAATACTTCGTCACATTCTTAAAAATATAAATATATGTACATACGTGTATATACGTGTGTGTATAATATATATAAATAAGACAACTGTATATAATGACATTGTTTTTAAATATTTATAACAAGCATTTTCTTTCAGGACCGTAGTACAAATGGTCTTAGTGCAGCTCTCCACCTTACAGAATCATACTGCCAATTACAGAAGCATGGAAACAACATTTCAGTTCAAGATTTTTTCAGTTTGCCACCTGAAGGTACATAAACTGTTTGCTTTTTCACGTAGTGAATATGATTACAATGACAAGTGAGTAAGAAATTTGTGAAATAACCTATTTGTAATTTTAGAAGTTAGTCAAGTCTAGCTAACCAGGTCCTAGGTCCTAGACATCACCGCTCCTCCTTCAGAGTGCAGGCACTCTGAAGGAGGGTAGGCAATGTCGTCATCCAAAGGTTCATCTAAACTATCATGTTAATGTATTTCTGGCAAGACAGTGGTTGAATGTGTGATGGTGACAGACAACCAAGATAAGATGATGAAGTAGAAGACAATCAAGGATAACGAAGAGGTAGAAGACATAAAACGATAGGTGAAGAGGTAGGAGACATCCAAGGCTAGGTGAACATCAAGGTCAGATGAAGAGGAAGGAGACAAGGTCAAATGAATAGGTAGGAGACAACTGAGGTCAAGTGATTTTATAAAAAAAAAAAAAAAGGTCAGGTCAAGTCACAGGTATGGGTGTTTAGAAGATTACAGCATTTGATAATGTACCTATAAAAGTGAACAACAGCTGTCTCAAAACTGAGACTTTAGATCCAAGTTAGGGTTTATCTCTGGATTAGCTGCAAATTGTTCCTGTCACAGTACTGTGACTTTTACTTTATGTAGGTAAAATGGTTGTAAATAGGTTTATAACAGGCTTTGTGTGTTTACTACCCATTTTGATAAACATTCCTAGGGAAACAAGGCATCATAAATGTAGGTAGAATCCATTAATTTTTTTATATGCCTTTCCACTCTTGTGTCATACAATTGCAATCTCCTTCCATCTTATCTTAATTGTCTCTTTGCCCTTTTTCACACATGCATTCTTGTAACAAAATTTCCTTTTGTTTTTCTGATTTTGGTTACAAAGGTTGATACAGCAGATGGTCCTCAGGAGAAAAAAGGAAGAGAGATATGTACAGTACAGTGGTACTTTGACTTACAAGTGCCCCAACTTACAAGTTTTCCGAGTTATGAGCCGTCGCTCGGTCGATTTTTTGCTTTGAGTTACAAGCCAAAATCTGAGTTACAAGGGAGCTTCAGATGTGCCGCCATTAGTTGGCGCAGCGAACACCACAATATCTGCCCAGCATCCCAGCATTTTGTGCTTTTTGTGCAGTATTTTGCCAAATTTCTTTTTTCTAACCATGGGTCCTAAGAAAGTAAGTGCAAAGGATAGTGCTGAGAAGAAGGGGATGATGTCCATTGAATTAAAGTATGAAATCATAGAAAAGCAGAAGAAAATCACTTGTGTTTCAGTGTTATACTTATGAAACTAGTGATCTAGTGCAGTTAGCCACACAAACACTCTGTTTTCTCTTATATTAAGAGCTCAGAAGGGCAAGAATGGGAAGATATGGACAGTGATAATTTTTTTTTACCTTGGGAGTGACTGCCATCACTCTTCACATAATGACATATTTTATCCATTCTAGAGTATATATCATGTTTTTATGTTATTTATATTGTTTATTATGTCATATTAGATCAATTGTGATGGATAAATAAGCCGTAGAGTTGATATTAGTGTTGAAGTATTTTCTCCTGCCTCCCGAGAGCCAGGAATTCTGCTGGAACGGATTAATGGCATTTCAGTTAATCTCAATGAGGAAAATTGATTTGATATACGGGCAAATTGAGTTACGAGCTCGGTCACGGAATAAATTAAATTCGAAAGTCAAGGTACCACTGTATTTTCAACGACACCATATACATGTACATACAATTTTTTTTTGCACATTACTTTTTAGCATTATCCGTTTAGGTGCCAGATCAAACATGACCGCCCAATAGTGTGAATTGCTGAATAACCAGTCTTCAAATTATCGATGATTTGCTGTGTTAATGTAGAATAACACGGCCATCATAATTTTTTTTTCCCACAGATCAAGATGCCCTTATCATTGTGAGTCTGACACCTAAAGAAGATCCATATTTAGCTTCATCAGGCATGAAAAGGAAATGTGACGATTTTGATGAATGGTCACAAAACTCAAGTTCATATTATGAAATGGAAAGTCCAGGCAGCGATGTTCTTATTTATAGATCAGATGATGAGGTAAGTGTTGATAGAGAAATGTTGCCATGTTTAGTGTGATTATAAGGTATTCCCAGCAGACACAATAGTTTTTGGTCTTGTTTATTTGTTTTATCTGTTTGGGTGGCATCTTGTTGATTACGTCTTAACAATTATTTGAAACTAAAAAATTATTTATATGCAAAACACAGAGCTTATAATTGAAACAAGTAACTTTAATCAAACAAAGAAATTTATGCTTTTTGTTTTTTTATTTTGCCTGCCCCCCACAGTATGATAAATGCTTAGGCTGAAATTGGAAAGCTGTCTTTTTTGTTTTTAAATACAAGTTTAATTGTTTAAAAATTCTTCAGATTTCTTTATCTTCAAGAGATAGGAAAAAGTTGAAGAGTGCCATGAAAGCAAGAAGAAGAGACAATGAAAAATTGTTAAAATTTATACAATCCCCATCATGCGTGAATCACTTGTGGCAAATATTCAACGGAGAGAAGACCTGTGAGAGGAATGATTTGTATCAAGATGAATTAACAAGAAGAACACTTCTTTGGTCAGGGATTGGGCCATTTCAGTTAGATAAAAATGATGAACAGGTATGTATTCATGGAGAAGTATTGTACACCTTACCTGTACACTGGTGAACCTGAAATTGCAGATTGATCAATGTACTTTTGAAGATATATTAACTTATGAATATGAAAGGGAAAGAAAAGGAACAAGTGAAAAAAAATTTACAGTGAGCTAAATTTTTGGTGTAAAAAGTCATGATAAATATTACTTGTATACATATAATGGTAATTAATGTAGATTTATAAGAAATTCAGCTATTCACCCTCAATGAACTAACATGGAAGTGGGTGGCCGATAATGACAGTTGTAGGAGACATGGATGGGATTTTGCAGTAATCTTCAGTAATCATAATAATAAGTAACAATTCTGTAGCAGATTGTTTTGCAGTGATCATAACAAACAGACTTCATTGTTTCCAAATCAATTGACTTGGCAAATTTTGTCCTTCATTTCCAAAGTCTGCTGAGTCAGTGTTTATTAAATCAAGGGTTTACTGTATTTAATGTCACTGAAGGACACTTAACCCTTAAACTGTCCAAACATAAATCTACGTTTGCACGCGTAGCACTCCGAACATAGATCTACGTTCGATTTTACATTGTTTCTTATGTAAAAAAAATGTAGATCTACGTTCGGAGGGCTACGCGTGCGAACATAGATCTACGTTTGGACAGTTTAAGGGTTAATCCAAGGGAATGGACCTGCCCTTCCCATATTTGGATCAAACCTGATTACCTCTCATTTCACAGGTTCTGTATGACTCACATGGGTTTAGCACTTCCTCTTGACTATAATTAAATATAACTGTTTCTGAATTATTGAATGAAAGTACAGCATTATAATACATAATTTTTAATTCTCCTCTCCATGATTTTACATTGCAGATTTTGGCTGTAATTGATTTCCTGAGCATAGAGCTAGAGAAAAAGAGGCCAGATTTCCACCAGATTCATGATTATGTGGTAAAAGTGTGGATGCCAGAGGTAAAGTCTATTATGCTGCACTTCTCTTTACACCTTACTTTACTTGGTCTAATCTAATTCCAATATGATCATAGGTGTTTCTTTTTTGGGTTACCCTGCTGTGGTGGGAGATGACCAGTGTGTTAAAAAAAAATTATTATAATTCTTAAATTGATAAACCTACCACAATTGTTTTTAGGCAAATGAAAAATTAAACAAAAAATATACTGTATACAAATAAATTATTGAACATAAGAATAGAAGAATTTGGAGGAAATATAGATGTATTTAGACACTTGAAGATGGAAGGGCAATTCCTGCACTCTGAAGGAGGGATGGATTTTGCAATTAAGAGAGTAATCTGAATTGTGATGTCAATGACTGGGTGAATGGTGGCAAGTGTGTTTTCTTTGGATTGCCCAGTCTTAATGGGAGACAACCGTTGAGATAAAAACACAGAGGAGTGATAATCAAAAGTCTAGACATTTAAAGATTGGATATCAGATTGGAGGGAGAGAGTATGGAAGAGGTGAATGTACATATGTAGATATTTGAGAGTGGACATGTCGGCAGATGGGGTCTTTGAATGATGAGGTGAATAATAGAATTGATGACAGGAAAAAGATTGGTGGTGCACTGCGTGTTGAAGCATCTGTGAAAAGAAATAAGTTTATCTTTAGAGGCAACAAAGGAATGTACCAAAGTGGAGTTGAATTAACATGTTTACATGGATCTGAGGCACAGCTTTAAACATTGCAGTAAGGTAGAGCCTAGAGACAAAGTTTCATAATTGAGAGCAATTTCCTTTCAACGTACTAGCCGTATCTCACTGAGGTAGGGTGGCCCAAAAGGAAAAACGAAAGTTTCTCCTTTCACATTTAGTAATATATACAGGAGAAAGGGTTACTAGCCCCTTGCTCCCGGCATCTTACGGCACGCATGGTCTACGGAGGAAGAATTCTGTTCCACTTCCCCATGGAGATAAGAGGAAATAAACAAGAACAAGAACTAGAAATAAAATAGAAGAAAACCCAGAGGGGTATGTATATATATGCTTGTACATGTATGCGTACTGTGACTCAAGTGTAAGTAGAAGTAGCAAGAGGTACCTGAAATCTTGCATGTTTAAGAGACAGAAAAAAGACACCAGCAATCCTACCATCATGTAAAACAGTTACAGGTTTCTGTTTTACACCCGCTTGGCAGGACGGTAGTACCTCCCTGGGCGGCTGCTGTCTACCAACCTACTACCTACAATTGAGAGCAATGTATGTTGTGAATACATGTATTATGTAAAGAATTCGGCATGTAGAAATTAGAAGGTAGTGTGTGATCACCAAAGGTATTTTTTCACAGAGAACTGAGGAGGGGTTGTTGAGATGGTTTGAGCATTTAGAGAGGATGAAGCAGAATAGAATGACCAAAATTGTGTATAAATCTATTTAAAGAGGAAGGATGTGTAGGGGTCATTCCAGGAAGGGTTGGAAGAAGAGAGTAAAGGAGGTTTAATGCTAAGAGCTTGAGCATCCAGCAGGCTTGTGGGAGTGGATTAGAGTGGCATGAGTGGAGCTAAGTAGTTTTTATGGATTGAAAAGCTGTTGGAGTTTAGCAGAGTAAGATTTTGAAGGGATTCAGGGTAAACCAGTTAGCAGGATTTGAGACCTTGAGGCAGACAGTACAGTGCCTGCACCTGATGGAGAGGTGGGGCTGTTGCAGTTGAGAGGTTCATCTGAATTGTGATGTCAGCACACTTGGCAAAACAGTGATTGTATTAATGTCATTGACAATATGTTAGGTAAAAGGACACATGCAAATAATGCGACATTTTATTATGGCAATATTTTGCTCTCCAGGAGTGAAACTTTGCCACAATAAAACGGCGCAGTAATCATTGCTTTATCTAGCCATTAACGACTTGACAAAGCTCCTGGAGAGCAAAACAGTGCCACAATAAAATGCAGCATTAGTTGCACTCTTGCCTAACAAAACAGCGATTGAATGATTCTCCTTTCTTTTTAAGTCACCCTTCCTAGATAGGAGAGACCCAATAAGGTAAAAAAAAAAATAAATAAATAAAGAAGATAAAAATAACACGCATTAATCTTGTGGTTCTTTGACTAATAACAGTTCTCCTGCAGGCTATAAAAGAAGCCCTGAGGGTGGTTAGAAAAGTTCCAGAGAGTGAACTAGAGCTGGCACTGCAGGAAGGTTACAGGGAAACACCCACCGAGAAAAAGGCTCGCCGTCTTGACTTCACGTAGCCTGGATAACACAGTAGATGAATTGGTAACCCCCAAGTACCTGTCCCTCACCCCCCTCCGCCAATAAATGTACACACTCATTCACGCTGACACATTTTTTCTTTCTCTCCTTTTCCTCTTTCTCTTTTTCTTCTTTTTTTTTATTTTCCTCCTTTTCTTCTTTTCGCTTTTTTTTTGTTTTCTATCCTTTTCACCATTTACTTATTTCTTTTCTCTTATTTTTTCTCTCTCTCTCTCTCTCTCTCTCTGTCTCTCTCTCTCTCTCTCTCTGTCTCTCTCTCTCTCTCTCTCTTCTCTCTCTCTCTCTCTCTCTCTCTCTCTGTCTCTGTCTCTGTCTCTCTCTCTCTCTCTCTCTCTCTTTCTCTGTCTCTCTCTCTCTTTCTCTGTCTCTCTCTCTCTCTCTCTCTCTCTCTCTCTCTCTCTCTCTCTCTCTCTCTCTCTCTCTCTCTCTCTCTCTCTCTCTCTGTCTCCCTCTCTGTCTCTCTCTCTCTGTCTCTCTCTGTCTCTCTCTGTCTCTCTCTCTCTGTCTGTCTGTCTCTCTCTCTCTCTGTCTCTTTTTTTGTTTATCCTTTATTGCCTCATTTTTATATATATATATATATATATATATATATATATTTATATATATATATATTTATATATATATATATTATATATATATATATATATATATATATAAATCTTGAACATTAAAATGGTATAAAATACCGACAGGTTGTTAGGTAAGACACATATGCAACAGTTAGGTATCTTTATTATGAAACGTTTCGCCTAACAGTAGGCTTCTTCGTCAAGTACAGAAAGGTTGATAGAAGCAGAAGATACTGAAGACGATGTAATCAGTCCATCCCCTTAAAGTTTTGAGGTGGTCAGTCCTCAGTCTGGAGAAGAGCATAGTTCCATAGTATGAAACAATATTGTTTCATACTATGGAACTATGCTCTTCTCCAGACTGAGGGACTGACCACCTCAAAACTTTAAGGGTGATGGACTGATTACATCGTCTTCAAGTATCTTCTGCTTCTATCAACTTTTCTGTACTTGACTGAAGAAGCCTACTGTGTAGGCGAAACGTTTCATAATAAAGATACCTAACTGTTGCATATGTGTCTTACCTAACAACCTGTCCGTATTTTATACCATTTTAATGTTCAATCTGTCAGACACTGCAACATATATAAATCTTATTTCTCTATTTCCCTTTTTTTCCATTTAGCATTTGATGGTGTATGATTATCGTACTTCACCTGTAACAAGTGCCTTATCCATCAATACTGTGTTGTGTTTATAACATGTAGATTTACATAGAAGCTAGAATATTTTTTTTTTAATTATTCTGCCACAAAATGCTGGAATCTTTATTTGTATGGTAAATACACCTATTGTTTAATTTTAAAAGATTCCAGGTTATTTTATATGAAAATGCATGTGTTCCATGTCTAGATTTTTAAATTACCAGATGTTTAATTATAAGCAATATAGTTTTTATTTATCAAGTTATACCTTGTGTTTTATATGACTGTAAATTATCATGTATGTGTTTTAATATAATCTATGTGACTGATGCCACTGTACATTGAATTTGGATTTATCCCAGCAGAGGTAGTTTTTCCTCGCTCCAATATCTGGTGTAAAATTATATATATTTTTTTAGGAAGAATTTTTGAATATTGGAGAGGCATTTGTGAAATAATTTGAATATAATTTGTATATTTTTAGGTAATTTTTTGAAGAATTTATGGAGTTAATTACATAATTTGGGTATAATTTGTATATGTTCAATGCCAGATACAGTTTTTAAGACGTGCAAATAGATTGTCTGTAATTGTAAAAAGTAGCCTGCTTATCGTCCCTGATCAACCCATGTTCATATGATGTAATGGGTTCATATTTGCAGAAGTGTACACCTGTGCTAGGTAACCCTAAATAAAAGTACTATGTATAGTTACCGATATACTTTCATTACCCCACCGGACCTCTTGTTGATTTATGCTGTTCTAAATGTATACCATTGATACCAATATGATCATGGAGAAGCATTAACCCTTAAACTGTCCAAATGTAGGTCTACATTCATGTGCGTAGCGCTCCGACCTTTATTTTCTCCATTTGAAAGCATGTAAAAAAAACGTAGATCTACGTTCGGAGTGCTACGCACGTGAACGTAGATTTATGTTTGGACAGTTTAAGGGTTAAACTCATAAGGGTTATACAATGCCTGAGGAATGGGAGCTAATTTGGATTTATCCGAGAGAGGGTAGCACCAATTCCTTGGATCAAGAGTCTTTCAGCATTAGGGGACGTGCCAAAAATATGTATTGAAATAATAGTCTAAAATAGCAAATATGGGACATTTTTATAGCGCTTTTAAAGTTTTTACTGGCTAAGTGGGGCCACTAGATGCTGTAGGCCTGAAAACATGCTGATGAAATGGATTGGTTGAAGATTTAATGGCCTGAAGTAGGCATCAAAATGAAGAGAAATGGTCAGCTTTAAGCAATTTTCCTCCCCCATTTGTTTTAGATAGTTTATTGGGTTGGCTTTAATTAATGGGACTGCCTAAACCATTGATTTGTTGTGTGATGATGGATTCAAGTGTTATATAGGAAATGCCTAGAGATGCAATCAATGAACACGGGACAAGTTTGGTCCAGTGGCTGAAATATCTACGATTTTCATTCTGGACTCTTTGTGAATAAGAAATTGTTGACAATGTAAAATTGGCTAAGTGACCAACTTCTGGATGCTTAATAGGTGGTTCTGGTTAGTTCTAGTAAAATAGTAAAACAAACTTGGAAAAGTTGGAATCTGTACCATAACTTGAATTACTCAACTGATCAGCTTGAAATTGACACCACTGATGTGGTTTCCTGAACACAAGGCTCTCACTACCACTGAATGGCATAAATGCCAATTTGCCAATTTCATTGAACAAACAATATTTATTCAATAACTGACAAATGCTTTCTAAAATCAGGTTGATAACCCATAAGACTAGTTTGAATAGGTGTAAATCTGAAATTTTACTGAAATGGTTAAAAAACTTGGAATTGTTGGAATCAGATCAATTACTTAAGAATGCATTTTTTTTTATCAGCTTCAGACTTTCATCATTGGTGGGCTTTATTAATTAAAACAGCTTGTCACTCAGACCTGTGTAAATTTCAATTTGCCAGTTTTATTGAGCAAATTGTTTCCCATGTAATAACTTAGTGAATGCCTCTTCTGATAAGTTTCAAACTATAAACGGTGTATCTTAAGAAGTATTTTGTATTAATTTTGAGTGGTGTAGGTGCCAGTTTGTTTTATTTTGCTAATTTTATCAAATCAAAATATATTTTCTTTTAGTAATGTTGGTAGAATTACTGACAATATGTAAAGTAAAAAGACACAAGTGCAACTAATGTGACATTTTATTGTGGCAACGTTTCGCTCTCCAGGAGCTTTATCAAGCCATTAATAACAGTACATGGACACAGAGGGTATATATAGGCTCAGAGTGAGGTGCAGTACTAGTGGTAGTAGTAGTAGTAGTGATATAAGTTGTAGTAGTAATACAATATGGTAGAACAATTAACTCTCACATGAGTAAAAGGATATAAAAGCTATTACTTGGTTAACATAAAAATAGGTTAGACAAATATGGACTGGATAGAAAAGGCCTGTTTCAGTGTTCATTCTCTGTAATGTGCTTTGTGTAGTATTAACAGGAGAGACTATGTGATGGCAGGGTTTACTGTTTTCAGTGCACCACAAACTAGCCGGACTTCTTGCCAAACATCTTTCCTGCCTTCAGGGGACCATCAGCCCCGCTCATCTTAAACATTCAGGCGACCTTCTCAACCACATCTGAAACCTCTCCATCTGTAACAAGAAACTAAGCAGTTTGGACGTGACTTCCCTCTTCACACAAGTTTTTTTTTTTTTTTTTTTCAACAAGTCGGCCGTCTCCCACCGAGGCAGGGTGACCCAAAAAAGAAAGAAAATCCCCAAAAAGAAAATACTTTCATCATTCAACACTTTCACCACACTCACACATTATCACTGTTTTTGCAGAGGTGCTCAAAATACAACAGTTTAGAAGCATACACATATAAAGATACACAACATATCCCTCCAAACTGCCAATATCCCAAACCCCTCCTTTAAAGTGCAGGCATTGTACTTCCCATTTCCAGGACTCAAGTCCGACTATATGAAAATAATCAGTTTCCCTGAATCCCTTCACTAAATATTACCCTGCTCACACTCCAACAGATCGTCAGGTCCCAAGTACCATTCGTCTCCATTCACTCCTATCTAACACGCTCACGCACCCTTGCTAGAAGTCCAAGCCCCTCGCCCACAAAACCTCCTTTACCCCCTCTCTCCAACCCTTTCGGCTGTATAGCCCTTGTGGCTTAGCGCTTCTTTTTGATTATAATAATAATAATAATCCAACCCTTTCGAGGATGACCCCTACCCCGTCTTCCTTCCCCTATAGATTTATATGCTTTCCATGTCATTCTACTTTGATCCATTCTCTCTAAATGACCAAACCACCTCAACAACCCCTCTTCTGCCCTCTGACTAATACTTTTATTAACTCCACACCTTTTCCTAATTGCCACACTCCAAATTTTCTGCATAATATTTACACCACACATTGCCCTTAAACAGGACATCTCCACTGCCTCCAACCATCTCCTCACTGCTGCATTTACCACCCAAGCTTCACACCCATATAAGAGTGTTGGTACTACTATACTTTCATACATTCCCTTCTTTGCCTCCATAGATAACGTTTTTTGACTCCACATATACCTCAACACAACACTCACCTTTTTTCCCTCATCAATTCTATGATTAGCCTCATCCTTCATAAATCCATCCGCCGACACGTCAACTCCCAAGTATCTGAAAACATTCACTTCTTCCATACTCCTCCTCCCCAATTTGATATCCAATTTTTCTTTAACTCATTTGATACCCTCATCACCTTACTCTTTTCTATATTCACTTTCAGCTTTCTACCTTTACACACATTCCCAAACTCATCCACTAACCTTTGCAATTTTTCTTTAGAATCTCCCATAAGCACAGTATCATCAGCAAAAAGTAACTGTGTCAATTCCCATTTTGAATTTGATTCCCCAAAATTTAATCCCACCCCTCTCCCGAACACCCTAGCATTTACTTCCTTTACAACCCCATCTATAAGTATATTAAACAACCATGGTGACATTACACATCCCTGTCTTAGACCTACTTTTACCGGGAAGTAGTCTCCCTCTCTTCTACACGCCCTAACCTGAGCCTCACTA